CCAGCTACTTGGTTGTGCCGTTCAGGGTATGCTGTTCCTGCCTGCATCTTATACCCTGCCACTATGTGTTGGACTGTCTCTGAGGCCTCTTTGCACAATCTGCGCCTTGGGACCTGTCTAGTTTGGTAGACCTCTGCTTCTATGGATCTGATGCTTACTGCCTGTTCCTGTGCTGCTATGATCAGTGCCTCAGTGCTGTCTTTTAGTCCAGCCCTTTCCAGCCACTGGTAGGATTTCCCAATGTCAGCCACCTCAGCTATCTGTCGATATATATATCTCAATGTGCTTTCACAGCAGAGTAATTTATGCATCTCTATTTAGACATCAGATCCATTATGCTCAACAGATCTTTCTCTCAGGTAGATAGATAAATCAATAAATATTTATATAAATATAAATATATGCTTTAGGAATTTCCAATCTGGTGCCATCCAGATATGCTGAGGCTCTAACTCCCAGAATTTCCCACCAAGATTGCCAGTAGACACAGTTGGCTGGGATTTCTGGGAATTGTAGTACCAACATATTTGGACTGAATCAAGTTGAGCAAAGTTCTCATTTGGAAAGTTTGTTATCAGAAATGAACCTAAAGTTGCTGCACTGCCAAATCTATAATATTAGGGAAGAGGCCATACATATGTTTATTCACATATTAGATATCAGCTATTATTATGGTGACCATCTGGGGATTAGCAGATTATCCCTAAATTGTATCTACAAGACATGTTTAAGATTGAAAATCTCTCATCTGTTGCCATATAACAGCACATACTACAGTATTCTGCACTGCAGTTCAATACATAGATAGAAATATTTATGGTAGGAGAACAGGAGTGCAAGTGTGGATAGTGTCAGATTTATACCAAGGTGATTTAGGGCTGACATCTCTGAAAATCTATGGAAGTTCACTGGTGCCATTGTGTGTACCTGTATTTCTCAGACAAATGTATATTTTCAAAATCGTTGTGAAGTAAAACGTGACAACCCTAATGTTCACTGACTTAGTTTTCAGAATCCATGTGCTCTGTTTTCAGTTATTTGGATTACTCCAAATCCACTTTAGGAGACAATTCTTTTTAAAATGATAAATGGTTGTGTTTAATAAAAATACAGGAAATGGCATTACAGAATTTCTTTTCTTGCTTCAGGTTTCTGAACAAATGTAACCACGGAGGAACTATCAATGAACATCAGCTTATGCTACACTGCACAATTGAATTCTATGTTTCTATTTTAAAAGGTTACATTATTTTTTTATATAATGGTACATGCTTTGCTGGGTACAGCATTTTCTTTTATTTCCCATCTGTTGCCTATAGCAATTATAAAGTGATTTAGATTTTTCACAGTAGATAAAGCAGTACATCATGACACTTAGAGAGGTATTCAGCTATTCTTGTACTGTACCTGCAAATACCGAACAATTCGGCAAACAAGATCAGGGGCCATGAAATCTCCAGTGAAGCGCCAAATTATATCAGTCATTATATTTATAAGACCTGTAAAACAATCTGTTCAAAACAGTAAAAGGACAATTAGAGAGGGATACAAATATTTGAGAGTGCTGTACTATCATAATCAATAATTCTGTTCTTCCCATTTTACAAGTAGTGCTCAAATTCTGAGGTTGTTAAGGCTTCTTGATCTCTCTTACCTTCTGTTTTAGAAGGATACATCTGGATACATCATTTCACCTGCACTGTATATATGCTCTGTTCCTATTGACCTAGATAGGACTTACTTCTGAGTAGATATACACTGGACTACACTGTTAAGTTCTGAAACAGCAGCCAAAAAGAAGAAATGGATTTGACTCCCCTCCAAACACACACACACAACTACACACAAAATAAAACTCTACACATGCTAATTTATATCTTTATGTTAAACCAGTTAGCTGAAAACACCATGCAGTAAGGATTTCGAATCACAGACAAATATTAGATGTTCTAAGTAAAAAAAAAAAAAAAAGACATGCTATTCCATAAAGGCTTAACAAGTGGATTTCATACTGTCTTATCTCCTAATAATGATGCTGTGTTAAAGTGGGAAAATAAGGACCTATCATGTCTGGAAGATGAGAAGCAATGAGAGGAAAGAAGAGCAATGAAAGGTAATAATCCCAGCATGGACTTTGATAACCCTTGCTTGGAGCTACTGGCTGAAAACAATATTAACAGCTCAAACCATGATTGCCATTTTTGACCAATTCATTGTTGCCAATAGTAAGATAGACGAACTAAAAATCCTCCCTGAGAAATTTGTGATGAGCTCAAAAGGAGTATTTAGGGAGAATTTACAGGAGAAGTTAAAGGAGAACCAACCCTGATGGTTACTGAAACAGAAATGAACTGGGCTGAGGGAATTCAGGATGGGAAGGTAAAGCTGCTTATAATAAAGCCCACCGCCCCAGCTACTTTCTGCCTCAAGGACCTCAAATGCCTGACAGGAATGCAGAAGTACCCTGTAAGCTTTATACCAGTGTTTCTCAACCTTGGCAACTTTAAGATGGGTGGACTTCAACTCCCAGAATTCTCCAGGCAGCATGGCTGGCTAGGGAATTCTGGGAGTTGAAATCCACCCATCTTAAAGTTGCCAAGGTTGAGAAACACTGCCTTATAGTGTATTTATAGTATAAGTATCCTAATAGTATCCTGTAAGCCAATAGTAAGTTACAGATTGCTGAAAATGAAATCAGTACAGGCAAATGGCTTAATAGAGGAGTAAGCACACTTTTTTTTTTTTAACCAAAATTTCATGTTGTCTGAAAGAAATTAGCTAGCATGTTTGGAGATTAGATTAGATTAGATTAATTTGATTTATATGGCCACCCATCTCACAATAGCGACTCTGGATCGCTTACAACGTTTAAAAGCAATACGGTAACATAATATCAAACATAAACAGCAGCTGAGGAGCCAGTCCAATCTGGACAAATAATAACCGCATTGTTGTTGTTGTCGTTAAGTCGTGTCCGACTCTTCGTGACCCCATGAACCATATTGTGCCAGGCCTTCCTG